CAGGTAAGGAGAATTTCCTTCTCTTCCATCTATGCCAATACATTTCGGACCTCCCAAATCAGTGTAGTGCCAAACTGTAAGAAGGTTGCCTGCAACACAGTTACTGAATAACATATACCAGTTGGTAACTGAACATAAATCTGTGGTGTTCAGAGCAAATAAATACCGTAGAATATGTAACCCAGGGAGCTTGGCATATATATATATCTCCAATAACAATGAATACACCTTCTCAGCCCATGACAGTTAACTTTCCAGTGCAATGGACTTTGTCTGCAGAGAGTCAAGCTTTCAGACTTGACACTTTATCCACTTGGAAAGAATTGATTTGGATGATGCACAACTTCACCAACAGAACCTCTCTTTATTTTCCTTCTAGGGCGGAATAAACAGAGGATAAACAGATGTCCCACAAGTCTCAATTTTTTGGCCATTCAAGAGATTTGCAGCATTCTCTTAAGAGTGAGAGGGGCCTCTTGAACTTCTTGAAGCATCTGTTGAACTTCTTGGGAAGTCGAAATCAGCAACATGCCACACCCCAACTGACCAGACCAAGAGAATTTGGATTCAGATGAAAAACTGGATCCTGGCCTTGAGACAGGAGATCCAGAGTACAGGTAGGTGAGATGGAGAGATATCATCTATAGGTGTGGGACTTGCCCCTGCAATTGCATGCTAATGTCCGGGTATGTGAGAGCGTGTTTGAGGCCATATTGACAGGTTCATGAAGTCTGAGAACCAAAACTATCTGGGCCACTCCAGGGCTAGGATCATCATTTGAACTGTGTCTTCTGTGATCTTCTTGAGGACTCTGGGTATCAGGGGAATTGGAGGGTAGGTATACATGAGTCCCAGTGCCCATGGAATCAGAAAGGCAGAGAGCTGGGACTGGCTCCCCCTCTGGAGCATTTGACATTCTGGTTGGATGCAAACAGCTCTAAAGTCAGGCACTCCCATCTGCAAAAGAGATCTTGCATACTGGGGTTCATTAATGACCATACACGATTGTACTGCCAATCTACCAGGGGCCAACAAGTGCAGGGTGTCAAGAAGTTACTGCAAGAGACCCAGGGGGGTTTCGCCCAGGGCCACTTGCAGGTTTAAACTAGTGTAAATGGTGGATTCTCTGTAACTTGAAGTCTTACAAGTATGATCTGAGGACTTCAGTAACTGAGCCAAAGGTTATAGGTCTATTACAGGAATGGGCTGGTGAGGTTTTGTAGCCTGCAATGTCCAGATGGTCAAACTAAATGATCCTGATGGTCCCTTCTGGCCTTGCAGTCTATGAGAAGAAGTCACACAATCTCAACTGGGGTTTCCAGAGTGTCAGCCATCCTCCTGAGAAGTTCCTCAAAGATCCAGTAATCTACAGGCTGGTTTAGAACCACCATGGTCACTGCCTCATTAGGTGAAGAGGATGAGATCGCTGTTGGGACAGGTTGGCCTTCAGTTTCGTGAAAGTCCTTCTACTCGCTCTCTGCATCAGGTACATGAGGTGCCAGTGAGTGTGGTGACCATCTTGAGGTCTACGAGGGCAGGGTGACCTTGCTCTAGTTGTCTGAGAGGCAGTGGGAACCCATTCCCCACCTTGGGGCCCAGAAGGGGCCTGACTGCATGGGATTCTGGAAAACCGAGGTTCAGACCATGACAGGTACCATGCAGGGTATTGCTCATGGTTGTTCCCACAGGAGGGCTTACAGGGACAGTCTCTGAATGCCCTTTCAGACAGTCTAGAGTTGTATGGGTCTAGGGCCTAAGGCAGACGTATCACACTGGTCCTCCTAGGCAGAGGAGAAAGAATATACCATCCTCCATGGGTGGTGTAGATCTCTCGAGAATTTGAAAGTAACCAGCAGCTCCTGTGCTGGAAGTGCTGATACTAGCATAGAAAGTTTCTTAGCAGAGGACAACAATGGAGGGGCAGGTTGGTCCTATACTAAATCTACTAGTAACATGAACCACATTGGTACCACAAAGAGGCTCCGGGGCAAAGACTCAGGAAGAATGGTCGGTACCACAGAGCGGAAGTCAGTGCCAAGGTTTTCAGTATTGAAGGCAAACTAATCAGTCAGATCACACTTTTCTGGTGCCAGGGCTTACAGTGTTGGTGCCAGGAGGTCCAAAGAGCACTTCTATACTCTTGGTTTCAGTGCAGAGTGTGTCTGTGCTGACTGTTTCAGCGTCAAGCACTTTGATCCTCAGTCGCCAGTACCAAATATACTGACAGGTTCTGGAACATATGCAGAGGCTGGTCAATGGCTGCTTGGTGCTGAGGCATCAGTAGGACCTGATCTGGGCCTCAAACTGCCTCCTAGGCTGGATCTGCTCAGATCCAGAGAGGGAGGATCTCCTTCTCTAGTCACCGCAAGAGTGATGCTCCTTCCATCCTCTCTCATCAAAGGGTTGGGCTGAAGAGATGAAGGAGGTACTGACCAACTCTGTAGCACTGAAATGGAACTTCCTCAACCTCAAATGGGGTCTGGAACCCACAGTAGACAGATGGCTTAACTGGGGAGCTCTGAGAGATGGTCTGGTAAAAACAGTCTTCTTGCCTTCCAGTGCCAAGAAAGCCCTCACTGAACTTCTGAGGAGGAAAAGCTTGAGTGAAGACACCCTGGACTCCGGCTTCTTTCCAAAAAGCAGCTATAGAGCACTTTCATGATATGTGCACTTGCCCCAGACAAAAGAGGCACTTGGAGTCTCCATCATTGATGGGGATCTTTCCACTGAAAGAGGGGAAGACCTTTAATCCAGGGGATTTGTCTCCACCATGGACAGGCAGGTCCTGGTTTCGAAGGCAGCACATGGACTCGAAGACCCTAAAATCAATTTTTTAAAGTCAATGGACTAAAAGAATAAAACTATCTATCTTGAAAGAAAAAGTGTACAGCATACAGAGATGCAGACACTATAGATGTTCTGTATCATAGCCATGAGCAGTAAGAAAGAACTGGAGAGTGATTGCTGCCGCACTGCTCTTTTACCCTCAGCTTCAGGGTGACCAGAGGGCTCGTAGGTGCAGCATGGCCCCAGAAGAAACTGTTATTCAAAAGACTCTGATCTCATTCAGATGTGTACAAGAAGCGGAATATTTGTGGACAATCATTCAAAGAACAGATGATTTACAAAAATTGAAGCAGCAATATTAGATCTTGCTGTTCATAATATAGCACAACAGTTACCCTCTTTTAAAACAGGTGCAGTGTATAAACATTTATATATTACATTTAATAAAATTAGCAGGTAAAATACTATGTAAGAAACAATCACCCATAGATGGCACAGTCCAACCCTACTTACTGTCATTTTTTTTTTTTACTATAACATAAAACCAACACCCAAATATTTTACAAATCTGTAATTCCAGCTCTGAATTCTTTATTTCCCAAAATGTTTGTGTTCAAACTGTCTCCAAATAATTTTAATAAGCAATCTAACTGACAAAAAAAAAACCCCACACCTCTGTAGAACATCAACATTGTAATACAATGTCAGAAGGAGCACTACTTTGGCTTTGTTCCCCTTCCAGCGAGCAGTGTTTTACAATTGTAGACTGAAGTAAGATATAGTATTATTACACTTTCTATCAACTTCAGAATTAGAAGTTTTAAAATGTAACATGCAGCGGCTCAGAATCTTCCAGTCCTCAACATTTCAAACATCTATCATTCCACAGCTCATCTCATGATGCACTCAAAATAACTTCATTCTGAATACAGGATGATCAACACACATAAAAATATGTAATTTATCCACTTTGATCTCTGTCCTAACCATATAGGTGGCTCTGAGATTAAGGAGTTAATACTTGATAAATTCTGTTGCACAGTAACAAAAACAAAAAAACCCATGACACATATTTCCTTATTAAACATGGCCACAGATTTCGATCCACACACATAAGTATTTGAATTTGCCCAAACATGATAACTATCCCATCTCCATGCTGTCCCCATTAGCATGGTATGATCTCCCAAACATGCTTATTCACCAAGGTGCTTGTGGTAGCCTTAAAACAGGAGTGGATTCTCAATACTGTTTTTGGATATCCTTATGAGAGCACTTAGGCCGGGGTATACCACAAAATATTGTTGGCATAGTTATGTCACTTAAGAATGTGAGAATGTAAAACTAATTGCAACCAAGCAGTTACATTCCTGCTCCAATCCAATCCAAGGAATCTACTTTGCGTCATTTGTTTTTTTTTTTCCATTATGTATCCCATTTTATGGGATTTGAAGCTTGGCCATAGTAATGCCCTTCGGGTTGAAACAAAATATACAAGTTTTGAGAGATCCACATAGCCAAAAAAGCGTATGATTCCTGGAAAGGATTTGAAATGATTTTTTTTTTTTTAATTACACTGATTTTAGAACTTCCAATTTAAAAAAAAAAGCACAAAAACAAAGCATCAGCTTGAAGAATGGCTGTATATTGTAAACAGTTGAGGGCTACATCAACTCTTGTGAAACCCTTACAAAATCTAGGTCCAATGGTGATTAAAGATGAAGTAGTGTTAACTATTTCCTTGCTTAAAATAGTTTGTCAGATGCATACTTTTGTTTTGTTTTTTACATAGTGATCAAAAATAATACATTATTTTAACATTAAAATTTATATACAAATAATTACACAACAGGAAATCTGTAACTGGGAAAGGTATGAAAGGAGGAATATTAACAGAGACAAGGGGACTTAAAATAAAGCAATATGCTTTCCCAGCACTTTGACTGCCTGGCCATCTATTTAGAGAAAACTGGAAAAGAATCTACATTCAGGAAAACGGTTTTTCTACTGGACATTTCAAACTATAATTTCTAGACAGTAATCTCCAAAAGATCAAAGGTGCTTCAATGATTTCTACTCCTTTTGTAAATATGTTTTATGAAGGTTGTAATGATGCAGTTTTGGGGGATAGGAAAAAAATCCAAAGAAAGAATAGAACATCAGAATAACAATATAGATCTTTCTTTCTACAGGAATTTCAAAACTAGAATCACCTGTATGCATCGTCTTCTTTCAAGTCTCATATCATCCTGTGGGGGTGGGTGGCAGGGGAGAGTCCAGCAGCAAAACACAACACTGTAAAATGAAGAAAATAGATTAGAACAAGAGGCAAAAATACAAGATGCAATTACCCTGATAATCCATTTCTAATAAAGGATCTAAGACTTTAAAATCTTTGGGGACAGAACAGTCTTTTTGCTATGTGTGTGTACAACGGGACCCTAGTCACTGGTCATGGCCTCTAGGTGCTAGTGCAGGACAAACACACTTCAAAGAAATCGTATATTTACATGGAAGGAAGAAGTGCCTAGCTGTTACTGTATAAAATACTAGAAATCAGGAGACCTGGGTTCTATTCCCAACTGTAAGTGACAAATCAGACAGTGCCCAACTTTCAGAGATGCTGCTCACCGTCCATTTCCCACCTCTAATTCAGCACCACTGAATAATCAGATCCTTAGCTAATCTGTGCCTCAGTGGGAATACTTACCCTCCTTGGCAACACTCTTAGATATCTTTGGATGTTAAGTATTATATAAGCCTACAATAATATTGTAAAACTAATAATGTTGAAATTCTGTATGACTTTACTGAATCACCACTACAGAAAGCTCACAGACACACCTAGCATAAGGAGGGATCGATCTCATATAGTCCAGCTTTTCTGCTTGATCTTGCATGATAAATGATCTAATTCAGCATCATTTCTAAATATTAATATATTGTCAGAACCAAAGAATTATGACTTCACAACAAGATTAAGCAGAAAGAAAAGGTGAGCTGTTAGGAAGAAAGCTGTTACTGCAACAAAAATAAAGAGCGGAAAGAATCTACAAAGAACCAGAAATTTTTTTTGTAAGAATGGCTGATTTTCAAAATATGCTCCAATATATGTGGCCTTTACTTAAATACAAGTTTACTATGCAACTTATGCAAAATATCAAAATACTTAAGAAGTCAGTATTTTAGATGACATTCTTTTGAATTATTAAACAGGTTAATTGTTTTGATATGCAAAAATCTGTGTTATTCAGATTCGGTGCAAGCAAGTTTACCTATATTCTACGTTGCATCCTCTGAGAACACCAAGTCAGTATTCAAGCACTTCCTCAGATACAAATTTTGAAAATTAATAACTAATCATTTTCTTATTAAGAAAACTAAGCCTACTGAACTTTGTCTCGTCATAACTTATGCCACTACCACTTGTTCAGTTTTCAAGCATGAAACTATGTTTTTAGTCTCTTTATAAACTCTCTTGGTGTACAAGTGGAAACATATTCATGCATTTCCTACATATAAAGTCCACTTTTCAGCACTTCTTACAGCAAAAGTTTTGTGTAACTTGAACTCATTCAGAGGAATTCAACAAAATGGCAAATTCAGCTTACGGTTGCGCCCAAGTTCTTAACGCAGAGAAAAAGTGGGACAGTGAGAGGTATTGAAAAGTGTAGAGGCTGTGTGAGAGCTGCATACTACAATAATGACAAAAGAGAAACTTGTGTTGTTCTGAAGGATAGAGCTGGGTGGCAAACTGGTGCAAGTCTGACACTGAATAGTTTCTTTTCATAAAGACTAGCGAGGATGAGACACGCAAATAGACTTGTATGCAATGTTCACCACCATGGAACATGAAAATGAAAACCCATCAATGGGCCCTAAACTAGTGCCATTCACCAAAGAAAGAAATTTTGAGGTCCTCATTGATAGCTGAGTGAATATACTTGCCCCGTATAAAGTAAAAATTATATAAAGCTAATGGGCACTTGTATGAATTAAAGGAAGAGAAAATATGATATACCGAATAATGGTACTCCATGATCTGAAGTATTGTGCCCAACTCTGACTGCTACACCACAAGAGAGCATGGTCTTATGGGTAATGGGACTGGGAATCAAAAAAGTTCAAAGTCATACTGATCAATCTCTCTTTATTTACTCTGTCCCATAATGCAAGAAAAAGTAATAACTTTATAAAATTACCACATCCAGTAAAATTTAGGAGTTCTCAATCTGCATCTTAGAGAACTGTTCCAAGTTTTACATAACCAATTCTGTCACAGTGGTGAACAGATTGTTCATATACTAGTAGTTATGTTTTCCATTAATTGCAAACTATTCCAGTACAGAACGAAAGAACGAACATCCCTCTCTTAATCCTGCATGGCTGCATATCTTTTTGTGAAGTGTCTGGCAAAATTCAGTCATGATCAAATTTGAAAAAGACACCACATTGGAAGAGTATCTCTCACACATTAAAATTCTAAAGCAATCCAGCGAGATTAGAGTAGACTGGAGCTGCAGGCAATAACGGGAGAGTCACTAATAACAAATAGAAAGTTATAAGAAAAGGAAATCAACAGTTATAAAGTGGGTGGATGTAACCAAGCAGCCACAACAATTGCAGTCCAGCATATTTGTTTTAATATTGTCTCCTTAACACTGTTCTAAACTTTTTCAAGTTACCAAACACTAATATCAGAAAGGTATGGGAATAGGATCAGGAGTATCAAAGAACTGTCTATGATAGGGGTAGGCAACCTATGGCACACGTGCTGAAGGCGGCACGCGAGCTGATTTTCAGTGGCACTCACACTGCCCGGGTCCTGGGCACTGGTCTGGGGGGCTCTGCATTTTAATTTAATTTTAAATGAAGCTTCTTAAACATTTTAAAAACCTTATTTACTTTACATACAACAATAGTTTAGTTATATATTATAGACTTATAGAAAGAGACCTTCTAAAAACGTTAAAATGTATTACTGGCACGCAAAACCTTAAATTAGAGTGAATAAATGAAGACTCGGCACACCACCTCTGAAAGGTTGCCGACCCCTGGTCTATGACTTTCAATAACGCACATTTAACCTGTGAAATTCAAAGCCACAGAGGGTCAAAATAAAATTTAAAAAAATCGTGCTAGTTTTAAGAAGGGGCCAGATAGTTTTGTGACCAACAGTAGATATGTTTTTGCATAATTTAAAACAGAGGCACATGGACTCATGAGTCAGAGAATACATTGATCACCACAAGAGTCAAGAAGGAATCTCCCTCATCACACTCTTTGTTAGGTCATTAAGAGAGTAAAACTAACTTCCTCCTCAAGAGAAGTACCACTCACAGATTTCATGGAGTAGTGTCTGATCCAGTATGACCTACTTTACTGAATTAGAAGGGAGAGGAATTGAAAATAGGAAATGAAGCTATTGTGGAAGAACAGAAAGAAACAAGGGATAGTTAGGAAAGAGATAGGAAGTGGGGCAGGGACAAAGGATTGAGCATGACACTACAAGCAAAAAGAGTTAATTTAAGAAGCTTCATTTGATCTGAAACCAAGACAAGAGTGGTCAACATAGATCAGATGCAAGTCTTCATCAATCCTCTAATATTAACACAGTTAAAACTTTTATTCAGGCTCTTATCTCCCAGCTTAATTACAGTTGCTGCTTCCTCTGCAGAGCCGAGTGAATAATAGATTTTTTTGTTTTGGTGACCAAAGGGAAAAAATCTGGGGGGAAAAAATCAGTTTAAAATGAATATGCTTTTTAAAAAATTCTCTCACCAAGTTAAAAACCAAAACAACAACAACAAAAGTTTAGAAAGTGTTGAGTTGAAACAAAAAGTCGATTCAACATAAAAAGCCAAAACTATCCAATTCACAAATGCTGAAACTTTTCATTTCAACAATTCCCCAAAACAAATAAATACTCAAGTTTTGGTTTTATTGGGGGTTTGTTTTGTTTTGTTTTTTTGACCAAAACTATTTGCCAAATTCAACCTGAATTTGAATAGCTTCAATGTCACCCCCCACCCCAAAATGCTTTTTTCAGCAAATTTACAATTCACCTAAAAAATGTCACCACCCTCTATTTTAATCTCCCCAACACACACATTGCTCCTCTACGATCTATTCAAAATATAACTGACAGGTTCAATGTCCTTACCAGTCACTCTGATAGCATCACTCTCTACTCTAAATCCCTCTACTACTCCCCTCTCCACCACAGTAAACTCAATTTGGGGCTCATTTTTCCTACAAAATATTTACTCAATGTACTTACATACTGATGAACACAATTCATCCTAGGATATACTATAATAAGATTGGGGTCAACATCATGTTACCCAACTATTCTTCACAACAACATGCAAAAAATGGTAATGTTCTGTAATGTAGACCCATCTATACTGTCCCTCCTCACCCAACCAGCCTTCATTTGCCTATTTGTCAGCATCTCTCACAATGATTTCTTCCACATTGCTCCTTAACACCATTCATAAAAAAAACCCAACTCTCTCCTTCTTTGAAACCTTTCTCAGAATATGTTTCTGCTGTGACCTCTATAAGAAATCAGCTAACCAACAACAGGTGGATTGTGCACGAGTCAGGATGACCAATTTTAAATTTTTTTTAGAAGTAAAATGATTTAGAACCATTAAATTGTGCAATGCTATGATGTCACTTTAATTACCTGTAGTCTTCATCCCTCCACACATTTCCTTTTTTGTATGTCAAATTCACTTACTGCATTGTGTCTCAAATTAAACTGAGCTTCTGGGATACGGACCATCTCTTACTACATATGAGCACAATGGCATACCCATCTTGACTGAGGCCTCTAGACACTAATAGAATAATAATTTTAAAAGTCCACATTTCATCATTTTAAATCTGGAGGTGTATGGGATAACTAAAACTTGATACTTTAGAATTTAAACTTGTGTTTTACTTTAACGGTTTAAAAAAAGAAATTTAGAGCATCTAGTGTTTAAAGTACTACATTTTACTACTGGATCGGACAAAAGACAGGAAGCAAGCAACAGAGTTCATGAACTATAATTAGCACCATAGAAAACATTTTCACCACAGCTTCACTGATGCTCTATAACAATCAAAGCTTTCCTCAGAGAACAAATTTAAATAAAAGTTTTAAAAGGATCAACTCTCTTTGTCATACACAAAACTTTGCATCAGCAAACAGGGCTACATGGATTTTTTTTATTATAATTTTTTACTTATTACAGATTAACTTTGTTTGCTCAATACTGTTGCACAAGACTCAATGGAAGCTTTCA